AGGAGCGAGTGGACCTCCACGAGATGGCACACGAACCAAGGCTAAAGCAGTAGCCCTGGGAGGACCTGAGGGTCACAGCGTCGTCTGCCCAAGAAGCGTCTATGTGCCTTGTAAGGACCACTGGCCTGCGTCCTCCCAGCACTAACCCCATGCCCGATGTAGTTGCTAGATAACGCAAAATCTTCTTAGCGGCCGACCAGTGCTGTGGTCGGTGTCTGCCTGTAGCCACAAAGCGAGCCAGGATGCTGAGAGGTTATGCAAGATCTGGATGAGTGCAAGTCATCAGGTACATGAGGCAACCCACCAGCTCTGCGTAAGGGCCACTGGGCTCTACTGACTCCTCAAGAACAGGAGCTGAGAACGTGTGGTCTACTGGCAGAGGTGTAGGCTGTGCTGAGGAGAAGTGAAGACCGAACCTCTGAAGGACATGGCACACCAAGTGTGACTATCTGAGAGTGATGGTGCGCGCTGCTATGTCCCTGGAGATCCGAAGGCCAAGTGTCATAGGATCGAATGTGCCGAGGAAAAGTTGCACTATCGATTGATACAAGGCGCATTTATACTTCTGAGGTACATCATATAACTAGGTTTATCCTATCCAAACGGAACAATCCCTTCAAGAAATAGACTCACCCTGCGTATAGCCACGCGAGGCTATTGGCTTTAAGGGATTGCGGCAAGATTACGCTAGATATAGCGCGCGAGTACATCCCGAGCCTGGTCGGTGATATAATTATAATAATAGGATAACCCAAAGGATAATGAGAAATGAGGAATAGGAAACCAAATGGGATGTGATAAAGATCAAAGGAATCATGATGTTTAGAAGAATGAGGGAGTAAAAAGATGGGAATGAGAAAGAAATGTAACGGGGTCGTACTCTCACACTCCCCCCCCTCAAAGCTGGGTGGTTGAAGTAACACCCTGCCTGACAAGGTAGTCGTGAAGAGGACAACGTGCGTTACCCATCTCAGATTCAGGAACCCAATCATCCTCAGAAGGAGCATAACCCTTCCAAAGTATGAGAAGCTCCATAGTGCCATTCCTACAACGATTGTGTGCTAGCACGGACTCGACCTCATACTCGGGTTTATCGTGGACGAGGACGGGCGGCGGCGGCGGCGGTTGGCGTCCGGTGAAGACCGTGTTCGGATCTCGATATGGCTTCAGAAGTTGGACATGGAAGGCGTTGTGAATCTTCCACGTAGCTGGCAGGCGTAAGCGGAAGGTAACAGGAATGACCTGTGCTTCGACGATAAAGGGCCTGCAAAAGCGAGGTCGTAGTTTGGATGGGAGATGACTGATGTCGAGTTTCCGGGTGTCGAGCAGAACCTAGTCTCCCACTGTGATGGTGTGGTCAGTGCGGTGGCGATTGGCCTGGCGCTTTTGTTGCTGCTGAATGTCGAGAAGGCGCTTGTGGGTCCGACCCCAAAGCTGATGCATGGTCGTGATGAAGTCGTGTGCGGGTTGGACTGTGGCTGATGCTATCGGTTTTTGTGGCATGAGCGGGTGGCGTCCGTAACAGAGGAAGAACGGCGTCTGTCCCATAGTGGCATGAGTGGCGTTGTTGTAGGCAAACTCCAGGACGGGTAGATGGAAGTCCCATTAAGAGATTTCGTCTTTGCATGCTGCGCGGAGGAGTTGCTCTACAATTTGGTTTAGGCGCTCGGTCTGTCCATCTGTCTGCGGATGGTAGGCGGATGACATGGCGAGTTTTGTCCCGAGCAGAGACATCAGTTCCTTCCAGAACTTGCTGGTGAACTTGGGGTCTCAGTCGGAGATGATGTAGCGAACGAATAGTCGTGCTGTCTCTTCGGTGCGTGCTGTCGTGTGTGTCGGGATGAAGCGTCCCATTTTGGAGAATTTATCAATGATTACGAGGATTGCGTCACGTCCGCTTGTGGTAGTTGGTAACCCGGTTATGAAAACTAGGCTAACCACTTGCCATGGCTGTTCTGGGACAGGAAGAGGCTATAGCAATCCTGCATTTTTCTGCTTGCTGCTCTTTATCCGCTGACATGTAGCACGCGAGGTGACGAATTTCTGGATGTCATCTGCCATGTGGGGCCAATAGTAGTGCTTTGCAATACCGATGAGCGTTTTGTTGCTACCGAAGTGTCCCGCGTATAGGACATTGTGGTATTCATCGGGTAGTTAACAGCGCAAAGGAGTGTAATTGGGTACCCATATTTTCGTTGATCCCTTCCGGTACGCGATGCCACTGTCCCACTATAGCAGGTGTCGCTTTACTGCCAAAGGAATTACGGGGTCGATGGCATACCCGTGTGTGAAGAGTCCCTTGAGAAGTGGGCCCATCCCTTCAACCTGGATTGCGGCAACGTATGCAAGCCGACTGAGAGCGTCTGCTTTGTTTTTGTGGCCGAGCTTGTACACGATGTCATAGTGGAAGTGCGTCTCGAGGAAGTCAATCCACCGGACCTACCGCCTGGAGAGGTTTGGTTGTGTCTTCAAATATTTCAGGCTGCAGTTGTCGGTGTAAACGGTTGCTTTCGGTCCTTCGAGATAACATCTCCACGTTTCGCGTACTGTGGCACAAACCTGTTGTAATGGTTAGCGAAGCCTAGGAACTGCTGCAACTCCTTCACGTTCTCGGGTGTCTTCCACGTGTGTACGGCTTCGATGTTCTCGGGGTCGACGTGAACTCCTTGAGCGCTCACCATGTGTCCTAGGAATTGGACTTTCTCGAGGGCGAATTCGCTCTTAGATAATTTGACGTAGAATCGTTCTCGTCGAAGAATGTCGAAGACGCGTTGTAGGTGTTGGACGTGCTGCTACATGTCGCGCGAGTAGATGAGGATGTCGTCCAGGTACACCACCACGCATTCGTCCAAGAGTGGGCGTAGAATATGGTTCATTTCGGCTTGAAACGTTGCCGGCGCGTTGGTGAGCCCAAACGGTATTACCAGATACTAGTACCACTTGTACCGAGTGCGGAAGGCAGTTTTGTGGAGGGAATTGTCTGGCATTCGTATCTGCCAGTATCCGGACCGCAGATCCAGTTTGGAAAATACCGTGGCTCCCCGAAGCTGGTCAAGCAGGTCATGGATTCGTGGAATTGGGTATTTGTTCTTGATGGTCTGCTTGTTGAGAGCTCGGTAATCGATTTACATGCACAGGCTTCCGTCTGGTTTCGGTATGGAGAGTACTGGGGCACCGTATGGCGAAGTGGGTGGTCGGATGAGTCATTTTGCGAGAAGATACTCGATCTGTTTTTTCATGTCGGCTAGCTCCGTGGGGCTGAGCCGATATGGTGCTCGGAAGGTCGGCTTCGAACATGGTTCTTCCACGATCTCGTGTTGGTGCGTTCGGTATGGCGGCAGCTTGTTCGGAAGGTCGTTGGGAAGAATGTCTTGGAACTCCTTCAGTAATTCCTTGATTTTTTTCGGAGGTTCCGAGGTTTTCTCTCCGTCGTTTTCCACCTCTTTCGCAATCGCAGGAACCCAGTGTTGGTTCGCTTTACATCATTCTCGAATCTTGCGAGTGTCTCCACATGGATATCTCCTGTATTATCCCAGTTGGGTAGCTAGACTCTCCTTCCGTTGTTATAGATGCTTGTGGTACGATTTACCCAGTTGATATCGGGGTTGAATCTTTTTAGGAAGTTTCGCCCGAAGATCAAGTCAAGCCCTTTTACACTGGCGGAAAGTATTGCCCGGATAAAATCCAATTGTAGGTTCAAATAATTAGTTGAATGCTTTCAACCTAGGTATCGCTGAATCTTCGAAGCTGGCTAGTAAGTAACGAGTGCAAGTTGCATTATGGTAACAAGTTTGCAATTTGAAGGGATCGCACTAATAGCGTGAACAAGATTTCAGTCGCGTGAGTGCATCCGGACAGTTTCGACCAAGCAGCAGCCTAGATCCGTTTTCGACTACCGCATTCTCTCTGTAGTTCCTCCCGCAATCGCCGATTAGTAAGGATAGACTTTATACCCGAGGCTTCGACTAGGCTAAGATGAGACCGATAGAGGAGGCTCGTCGCGCCCAGATCATAACTTTGTTGCGTAGGGGTACAGCACGCGGCGAATCGCGAAGGAGGTTGGCGTGGGGAAAAGCACAGTACACGACGTTGGACTTAAGGCGATTTCAGAGACTAGTCTTGAGTATGTGCGTCCTTCAATGCCCACTGCTGGTCGTCCACGCGTACTGACGAATAGAATTCGTCGTGGGATCGTCAGGGCGATCACTAGCGGCGAGGCGAAAACCTCGAGGCATGCGGCCCAGATCGTCGAATCCCAGCACGGCATCACGGTGCATCCTAGGACGGTGCGTAATGCGCTCAAATCCAGCGGCCTTGTCGCCGTCCAGCAGCCTAAGAAGCCGCGACTCTCCAAGAAAAATATCCGCGATAGGCTGGAGTTCGCACGGGCCCACGCGGATTGGACCATAGATTGTTGGAGGCGGGTGATCTGGTCGGATGAAACGAGGATCAGTCGGTTCTGCTCTGACGGCCGCGCGTACGCCTGGGTTCGTGAAGGTACGGCTCTCCAACACCACCAGATCAGGCAAACCGTCAAACACGGGGGCGGCGGCCTGATGATTTGGGGCTGTGTCACGTATGAGGGGGCGGGTTTCATGTGCAAAATCGATGGTAGAATGGACGGGCCGCTGTATCTGAGCATTTTGCAAGACGAGTTGAAGAATACCATCGATTTTTACAAGCTAACCCCCTCGGATGTGATGTTCCAGCACGATAACGACCCCAAGCATAAGTCCCGTGTGGTGCAGCAGTGGCTTCAGGAGCAGGAGTTTGGGGTCGTGGAGTGGCCGGCAGGAAGTCCTGATTTGAACCCCATTGAACCCCATTCAGGAAGTTTTCATTAAAGCATCCTTATAAGATAACTTCAACGAGCCCTTATAATTTCTTAGGTCTTCTCGGAGTTTCCCTCTCTCGGCAGAGTCCTTTTTCGCGGAGTCAGATTTTTTCTTGGCGATTTTCCCTGTCGAAGACTGGCTGTGGGGTGGAGATTTTTCCCCATCATTTCCTCCTGCTCGCGTCGAATCAGCTTCGTTGAAGTTGATTTTCCCGGAATCCCGCGACCCCTTTCAGATCTTTTCTCTTTCGCCAGCTAGATCCGCCTCACTGGCGAATTCCATTTTTTGTCTTCTGATTGGCCGAAGTATTTCCGCCATTGTTGCGTGCCTGATACTCTACTCGTGCGGCTTTCATTTTGTTGTAGTCGAAGATTCGATGGCCCGGCACCCCTCAAAAATCACACGTGCAGTTGGTCGCCCGTCGAACCTGTCGAACCTGTCAATTTCCATCGTGTCGGCCAACGTTGGGTGAGCCGAGCGGTCGCCCTGTCGCGTACTGCCGACGTGCGCCCATCGTGTTCTGGTTGTTGACCATGTCAAACCGCTCTACTGCCGATACGACGTCACTGTAGCTCGCGTAATTTGTCTCTGCTACATGTCGTTTGACTTCGGTCTTCAGCCCGGCGAGATACGACTGTACTTTTTCCCTTTCGGTCAGGACGGGAATGCAGTTATAAAATTCCTCCATCTGTTGCGTGTACTGTGCTACACTCCCGAACTGTCAGTGGCGATGATTTTTTTCCCAGGCAAGGAAACCCGAATTTATCGGCTCGAAGCATTTCAGCAGGTCGGTGCGGAACTGCTGCCACGTGGCTTCGCCATGGATGAAAGTACTGTTGCCGCCGATCCACTCGAGTGCTGGCCCTCGCATCAGTGTCGCCGCGAGACGTACGCGTTGACCATCCCAAACTGGCGAGCTCCATCCGACGGTTCCGAAGTAGATCTCCATGCCGGCGATCCATATGCGGACGTTAGAATTTCGATCGCTCGGATCCAACGGCTCAAGTGGGTGCGGTTTCGGAGCCTCGAGAAACTGATGCGTCATCGCCGTTGTCGTTTCGCGCTGCGCGCCGGCGAGTCGAGTTACTCGCTCGAACTCGTTTCGCCAAGCTTCGCGATCGGGTCGCATCTCCTCCTAAAGGGCGGCGATGCTCGCGAAGAGCTGCTGGATAACCTCGGTGTTGTCGAAGTTCGCCATCCAATTCAAAACACGGGCGAAGGGGTTAATTCAAAAAACGCATAGCTGGTGCTTACCAGAATCGGCGCCGAATGTGTCGCCCCTGGCGGTTTTGCGAGGCAGGTTTTCCCGCTACTTCTGCTTAGCTGAGCGCGGTTGAGTGAGAAAAACTCTGATTACCAAGTGTTACAGGATCGAATGTGTCGAGGAAATGTTGCACTATCGATTGATACAAGGCACTTTTATACTTCCGAGGTACATCAGGTAACCAGGTTTATCCTATCCAAAGGGAATAGACCCTTTTAGAAATAGAATCACCCTGCGTATAGCCACGCGAGGCTATCGGCTTTAAGGGATTGCGGCAAGATTATGCTAGATATAGCGCGCGAGTACATCCCGAGCCTGGTCGGTGATGTAATTATAATAATAGGATAACCCAAAGAATAATGAGAAAGGAGGAATAGGACACCAAATGGGATGTGATAAAGATCAAAGGAATCAGGATATTTAGAAGAATAAGATAGAGTAAAAAGATAGTGTAACGGGGTCGTACTCTCACGCCTAGGCGGTGGTGCCACGGAAGCAACGGATGAGTAAGCGACCGACACATGCATGCAGCGGCGACCTGGGTAGACGCAGGACCTGGGGGGGACGGTCCACCTGGGGTGGAAGTAGTGTCCAGCGTAATGAGGCCAGACACCGGGTCCCGGGGGAACGTCGCAAGGGGGGAACCTGAGAATGCCTCGGTATAGACGGTGTACCGCTCGTGACCCGAGAATGTAGTGGTCACGCAAAGGTCTTGAAGACAGCCGACACCAACTTATTTCCGGGAGAATGAGGGGATGTGCAGGCCTGTAAGGAACCGCTGGACAGGGAAGGGCACTGTAGCTGCGAGCAACTACAGGACAAAAGAAGGGGTCAGCAAGTGCGACAGCGGCAGGCGCGGCAAGCGGCGTAAGCGCAGCATAAAGAGAATGCAAGGCAGGACTACTTTGATCCATGTCTAAGTCAAAAACAGGCACACTGTGGCGCAGCAGACTGGGCCAGTCAAAGAGGTCCGGGGCCGGGCTGAAGCGGCGACGGAAGAGGTCGTCAAGGCGGCGGAAGCAGCGGGCAGTCGGGCGCGCGCGGCGGCACACAGTGCCACGGAGGGGCCCGATCTGGAGTTGGTACTGGCAGCCCACAGCACTGAAGCCGCCGGTAGACGCCGAGCTGCGAGGACCGCCACCTCTGCCACCACCTGCAGGGGCTCCCGGCCACCCAAGCGGGAGGCGGGCCCACGACTGTTGCTGCTCCTGCTGCGACTGCTGCTGCGACTGCTGCTTCTGCGTCTGCTGTGGCTGCTGCTACTCCTTGACACCTGCCCCAGCCCCCTCGTCAGAACCACTGTCGCCGCCACCACCACCACCACCAGCACCACCACCACGCCCTCCCTTTGGGCCGCGACGGCCCCGACGCTGGCGCTGCTGCTGGGGGAAGGCTGCCGCTGCGGTCTTAGTGGCAAGAGCAGCCGTAGCGACCGCAGCGGACACGTCAGCGTACGTGCTCTGGGAGGCAGCATAGCCCTGGAAGATAGGGACTCCCGCAAGACCGCTCGACCGAGCGATAGTGCACTAGCGAGTCTCTATCTCAGAAAGGGCAGTGACAAAGGCCGTAAGGGTGGGGTCACCAGGGTGCTGGCTAAGAAAGTGGTCGCGGGCAGTGGCTAAGCGGTCAGGCAGGCGCATGGCAATAAGGTACAGGGTAGCGCAGAACGGCGGAGGGAAGGCAGTGAGTTGGGCAGGAGTGCTAGCAGCGCGATAGCTAGTCTCTAGTGCACGGAGGTGAGTGGCGAGATCAGCGACAGTGGGGAAAGAGAAAGATCAGGGAAGAGCATGGGGAGGATCAAGCGTCTAGCTGAGGCGGAGGCAGGCGTGGAGTAGCGTGCAACTACTGCATCTAGGAAGTCTTTTGCGTTCGCGAGAGCAGTGAAACGCAGACGCTCAGATAGGGGAAGCGCATAACTAATGGCAAGCTGCGCTACAGCATCGCGAGAATCCCAGACAGCGCGAGCTAGCGCAGCAGCAACAAAGGCATCACTCTCAGCAGAAGTGGAGTCAGTAGGGAGGGGATCATGCGCGGGGGGGCGGGGAAGTAAGCCATCAACATGCATAGCCATAGAGTGCCCATCTTGGCGCTGACCTGTCAGGTGCCGGCGAAGATCTACAAGCCTATCAGAATGAGAGAGAAGAATAAAATGTAGTGGGAGAGTACAGACAGATATACCTAAGTATTGTACCCTTTAAGAGGTGACCCTATACAGTCTATGCAAACATAACAAATACACATGTATGACACACCCCCTAGACTGCATAGGGGAATGTCCTGAACAAGCAGCTCAGGGCGGCACTACTAGTCCAACCTCTGAGACAAGGGTCTAAAAGACCAGTCAGAAGGAGTACAGAAAAGGCAAGAACAAGATCAGGGCGGCACTACTAGTCCAGCCACTGGGAGAGGACACAAGTCCAGTCTGAGTATACATATAAAGGACAGTACAAAGTCAAGGGCCTAGCAAGTGAGAGGCTACAGGAACTAGACCAAGCTGTACACAGTGCCGCTGATGATCTTTAGGCGCAAGCGCCTTCGTAAAGATATCAGCTGTGTTGGCACCTGAGGCCAAGTGTACTACGCGAGCCTGGCGTCGCTGCTGTAGCTCGCGCAGGAGGAAGTACCGCAGCTGAATATGCTTCACTCTGCCCTCGAGTCGAGGCTCCTGACACAGGAGGATCATGGCCCTGTTGTCAGCGAACAGGACCGGGGCAGAGCTAGGCCGCTCACCTAAGTCAGTGAGCAAGAAGGTCAGCCAGCGGAGCTCCTGTGCCGCCATGGCACCAGCGTAGATCTCGGCCTCACAGCAGGACTGGGCAACAGACGAGGAGCGGGTAGCTCTCCACGAGACGGCACCTGAGCCAAGGCTGAAGCAGTAGCCCTGGGTAGACCTGAGTGTCTCGGCGTCGTCTGCCCACGAAGCATCGGTGTGTCCAGTAAGGACCACTGGCCTGCGTCCTCCTAGCACTAACCCCATGCCCGATGTACTAGCAAGATAACGCAAAACCCTCTTAGCGGCAGACCAGTGCTGCGATCGGTGTCTGCCTGTGGCCACAAAGCGAGCCAGGATGCTGAGAGGGTATGCGAGATCTGGGCGAGTGCAAGTCATCAGGTACATGAGGCAACCCACCAGCTCTGCGTAGGGGCCGCTGGGCTCAACCGACTCCTCAGACACTGGAGCGGAGAGTCTGTGGTCTACAGGCAGAAGGGTGGGCCGTGCAGAGGAGAACAGAAGGCTGGACCTCTGAAGGACCTGGCGCACCAAGTGTGACTGAGTCAGGGTGATGGTGCGCGCTGCTCTGTCCCGGGAGATCTGCAAGCCAAGGTAACGGCGCAGTTCTCCAAGGTCAGTGCAGGTGTGTCTCTTCAGCAGCTCTGCCTTCACGGAGGCCAGTGCGTCCCTGTCTGCCGTGGCAAAGACCAGGTCGTCGACGTAAACAAGGATGTAGAGCGGAGTCTGGCCAGCACGAACGAAGAGTGAAGGGTCTGCGGAAGACGGAAAGAGCTGCAGGTCAGCAAGGGTAGCACGAAGAGTGTCGTGCCACTCACGGGGAGCCTGGCGCAGGCCGTAGACGGGGCGCCGCAGGAGCCACTGGGTCCCAGGAGGGAAGGTGCCAGTAAAGCCCTGAGGGCGACGCAAGTAGACCTGCTCGTGTAGGCTGCCCTGAAGGAAGGCAGTGGAGAAGTCGAGGGAGTGAAGCTCGTAGTCGCGCTGAGCAGCTAGGTGTAGCAGAACCCGAAGAGTAGTCATCTTCGGGGTCGGAGCGAAGGTCTGGAAGAAGTCCACCCCCTCACGCTGACTGAAGCCTCTAGCCACGTAGCGCGCCTTGAACACAGGCGGCTCTCCAGGAGGGCGCTTCACCTTGAAGAGCCAGCGGCCATCGACGACGTTCACCCCAGGCGGGGGAACTGCCTGGCACCTTCGTCGACGCAGTTCCCCCGCCTGGGGTGAACGTAGTCGATGGCCGCTGGCTCTTCAAGGTGAAGCGCCCTCCTGGAGAGCCGCCTGTGTTCAAGGCGCGCTACGTGGCTAGAGGCTTCAGTCAGCGTGAGGGGGTGGACTTCTTCCAGACCTTCGCTCTGATACCATATCAGAATGAGAGAGAAGAATAAAATGTAGTGGGAGAGTACAGACAGATATACCTAAGTATTGTACCCTCTATGAGGTGACCCTATACAGTCTATGCAAACATAACAAATACACATGTTTGACAAAGCCAGACGGCGAAGTCAATCGCGTGCCCCTCCGCGTCCAGACGTAGCATGGCGCCCGCCATCGCGCTACCGCAGCGGCACCGGGACACAGGTACTCAGCGGCACGGCGATACAACGACGTGGCGGCATGACTCTCTGGAATGTGGAGCGGGCGGAAGGCCGAGGAGGGCGTAAGGGGGCCGGTGGGCGCGCGAGGAGCCTGCGGACGCGCAAGGGGCCGAGGTGCATGAGGGACTGGGCAGGTGTGCGAGAGGCCGGGCGGGTGCGGAAAGGGGCCGGCGCGTAGAGAGGAGCCGGCAAGGCACGTGGTGCCGGTGGTGCGCAGGAGGGGTCGGCTAGGCGCGAGGGGCCGGCTGTGTGAGAGGGGCCGGCTAGGCGAGAGTGACCGAGGGCAGCGCGAGAAGGCGCCGGCTAAGCGCGAGGGGCCGCCTAGGCGCGAGGGGCCAGTTACAGCGTGAGAGGGACCAGCTGGGCGCGAAGGGGTCAGCTAGGCGCAAGGGGCCAACTAGGCGCAAAGGGGCCGGCGACAGGGGCTGGCTAGGGCGCGAGGGGCCGGCTAGGCGCGAATGGGCCAGCTAGGTGCGAGGGGCCGGCGACGGCGCGAGGGGCCGGCGACGGCGCGAGGGGGACCGGCTGGGCGCGATAGGGGCCGGCTAGGCTAGGGAGCGGGGCGGAAGCGGGTGTGTGGACCTATCCTACTCATGATACCATGTTAGAATACTATAATAGTTTAGAAACAAGAGAGAACAAGCAAGATATAGGTTTGGGTTGTACTCTCTAAGAACATACACATATCTAGCCTATATTTTCTACATACAAGAGATGTATAAGTTGATAGTTTTAACAATGAACAAGTAGAATGTTGAGCAGGGAATAGATAAATTTCAGTTGCAATCCCATTTGCTCATACCGATGCGAGTACTTGATAGAGTATGAATTGGATGATGAGACCTGGAGATGAGTAAATGACTCATAACGAGTAATAAGAGATATAGTAATAAGGTCAAAGTAACAAGGAGAATAAGAAAAATTCGGGTCATGGAAAAATATTCACATCAAACGGGAGGTTCCATCCTATGCCACTCGCAACGCAACGCCTAGGCTTGGAATGTCAGATTTGACTGGCCTAATTGGAGGCGGGAAAATCCTGCTGTGTTGGTGGGGGGTGCCCTCCAAAGCTTGGAGCGACAGGGGTACGGGAAGAATGAATTCTCGCGCAAAACCGCCAGTTTTCAAGGGCGGTAAGTGTGTGGGTGGTTCGGGATGTGAGAGAGACGTACGATTTTCGCGGATGGGAATGACGTGAGGTAACCCGACGTACTTCCTCGGCTCCGCTCATTTCGCTAAGCCGTTCAGCAACTGTTGTCGCTTGCCTGGCGAGCTCTCACCTCTTCCCAATTCCCACGCAACCACCCGCGCTTTCGTCGCTCCACGCTTTTCTTCGATCCGACCAACACGGATTTCAGATCCGAGCTCATGCCTCGGTTACGCCCAGTAATCAGCCAAGTGCCAGCTTAGCAGCGTTTGTTGTAGTTGGCTTTGATTAGGACGGCCTAGCTCGCTTGCGTCTATGCATTTCTGGCAGCTACTCGAAGGGTCATGATCGTGGTTTCCTTTTGAATCCGTGAGTTTAGTCGAGGCAAGCTCCTCGCGTTTTGGAAACCTAGTGATTCTAACAGAGATGTCTGATCCGATTAGGTCCTTTAGGGAAGCGGGAGATGAAGCTGAAACTAGTCATCGATCTTCTCGAGGGCCCCTTTTTGAGATTGAAAGCGACACAGTACAGAAGACTATTCTTGTAACGGGTGGTGCTGGGTACATTGGCAGCCATACATGTGTCCAGTTGCTGGAAGAAGGATTTAGGTATGTCCAATGTAGCGTAAGTCACAGCTGATGTTCCGAGACCCTGGTCCTGACGTGGTGCTGCTGCCGTTCTGCAGGGTGATAGTCGTCGACAACTTGGCAAACTCGTCCGAAGAGGCCGTGAGAAGAGTTGTTGAACTGGCCAAGGACAAAGGCAGTAATTTGTCGTTCCTTAAGGTTCGTGACTAGAATTCGAAGACTCCCGTTTGAAGCAGATTCTTTGCCCAAAATTCTTACTCCCAAAATGCTCGTCGCTGTTGCAGCTCGATCTTCTCGACAAAGAAGCAGTTGACGCCATCTTCCGAAGCCATCAGTATGTAACACATTCATCCCTGGTTGACTCCTTCTCCCTGCGATAAGTCTCTCTACCAAGTGGACGCGTAATGCGCATCAAACCTGCATTACCAGCTTATCATGGCAACACGCTTCTTTCTTATGGCTGACATTTACCGATATGTTTCCGCAGTGTCGACGCGGTCATTCATTTCGCCGGCCTTAAAGCCGTTGGTGAGAGTGTCAGCCTACCCATGAAGTACTATCACAACAATCTGGTCGGGACATTGAACTTGCTTGAAGTTATGTCGGAGCATGATTGCAAGAAGGTAAGCCACTCTTCCACACCAGTGCTTGACACCCGCATTCGTCATCGTTCTCCGAACATTCTCAGCCTTTCCTGGTTCAACTGTTAACAGATCGTATTCTCGTCGTCCGCAACCGTCTATGGCCAACCGAATCGCGTTCCTTGCATGGAGGATGACACCCTGCAAACCCTCAACCCGTACGCCAGAACCAAGGTAAGAGCGGTTCCTTCAGAATCTAAATCCCGGATGCTTGATTTGCTGTATCTGACAAGCGATATTTACGTGCAGTTATTCATTGAAGAGATTTTGAAGGACGTGCAAAAGGCGGATGCAGCATGGCGAATAGTCATCTTGCGATACTTCAACCCTGTTGGCGCTCACCCAAGCGGTAGAATTGGCGAAGATCCAAAAGGCCTTCCTAACAATCTAATGCCATTTCTTCAGCAAGTCGCCGTGGATAGAAGGCCGCATCTTATGGTCTTCGGCAACGACTACGATACACGAGATGGAACAGGGGTACGGTACCATCAAGAGTCTCAAGAGATGCAATGTATATCCTGTGAAGCCAATGGTTAGCTCATCCATTTTGGATCTTTGTCTCATGCTAGCGCCATGTGTCTTGCAGGTCCGAGACTTCATCCATGTAATGGATCTTGCAACTGGACACGCGGCTGCTCTTCAGAAAATCTTCCACACTGCGGATATGGGTGCGTATGCTTCCCCCTTCCCCTTCCCATTTTCACCCCCACGCTTCGCCGCTCTGCCTCTCTCCCACCCGTCCCTCCGTCCCCCCTCTTCCCCCCCCCCCACCTCCCTCCCCTCACACATGTACACACACACGCACTCACTAGCGGTCCGTATTAAAAAACCACGAGCTTCAATCTGGCAGCAACTGCAACTTAAAGGAGACAAAAACCTTGAGATAAAACCCATCTAACTCTGTTTTCACTCTAGCGGTCCCCCTCCCCCCCCCCCCCCCCCCCAACTCTCCCCTACACCGCCCCCACACCTTCACCCCCCTTCTCTTTCCCCGCGCCCCCTACACCGCCCCCACACCTTCACCCCCCTTCACTCTCTCACTCTCTCCCGTCCTCATTCTCCTTTTCCCCCGCCCCCTCCACCCGCTTTTCCCCCGTCAGGCTCTCCTTCTTTCTCCCTGTGTCTCTCCCTCGGCCTCCCTCTCCGCTCTAAAGTCTAGAGATGTGTTGTGCAGTAGTATGGAATGCTTCACCAATTTGATAGAAAGAGTCGACACTAAGAAATTTCCCCTACTGCACTGTCAGATTTCCTTTACTGGCATCCATTTTGCTGGCTCATCTCAGTTCCCCCTTTCCCCATTTTCTCAGCACCCCTCACTTACCCTTAACCCCCTATGACGCTGTCTTCTTAGCACCGCACTGTCTTCTTCAAGCAGCAACCTTATGGTCCCTTTCCTTTGCGCTTGCACTGGGTTTCGCCATCGTCAACCTGCTGTCCAGGCTGTGCAATCTACAACCTCGGGAATGGCCAAGGGAGCTCTGTTCTTGAAATGGTTGCAGCTTTTGAGAAGGCAGCTGGCAAGGTGAGTCTTGAGTTGGTGGTGGAGCATGCTGTACTTGCTACCTGAAGTTTGGGAAGTCTAACATCACATGAAGTGCTGTGTTGACAGAAAATACCAGTGAAGATTGTGGAGCGGAGACCTGGCGATGCAAGCGAGGTTTATGCATGCACAGTGAAGGCTGCTCGGGAACTTGGTTGGAGGTTAGTCTTTTTTCTTCCTTCTTGTCCTTTGCCTTTAACATCTTGCCTTGGCCTCGTCTTGCTGCTTGCAAACCCTGTTCGCCTTTTTTCTCTTCATTGTCTCCGTTACTTCAGTGTACACCACCTCTTGTCCTTTCGTTTTCCACCTTTCAAACGCCCTGCTCACATTTGTATTCCACTCCCAAGTTTTCTCACGAGCCTGCTTCCATTGATGTGGTTGCAATGACTTGTCAGGGGGAAGTACTCGATTGACGACATGTGCCGGGATCAGTGGAATTGGGCCCGGAATAATCCATGGGGATACGCTGATGGTCCCCTGCCGTCAGAAGCTGGAGAGAGACCAGCACAAGGAGCTCCTGATGTTTCGAATGCAACGCTCACCAAAGAGTCTTCCAATGGTCTTGCTTTAGGAGACAAGCACAAGGAAAAAGTCTCAGTAGACCTATGATGATCCTGGGTTGCCTGAGCGCCCTACAGCCCACTACCGGCAATTTGGAAGTTACCCTAATGTTACTACATGGCCATACTTAGTGGCTAGCTGACATAGGTTGCCTGATCAATCCAGTCCGGCCTGTTGAAGACCAACTTGAAATAAGACAGGAATGTGTCAACATATTGATGTACATTGTTATTATAGGCTAGACCAAAAGTGCCATAGCGAGTGCAACACCTAGCACAAAAGTGTTAACGTAGAAACGAATGATTACTAGAGGTGGAAACCTAGAACAAATACTAGTTGGTTGTACTCACTAGAAGCATACCTCAGTCTAGCCTATAACTTCTACATAGATAATATGTATAAGTTGACACACCCCCTAGGCTAGACAAGGGGTGAAACTAAACAAGAAGCAAACAGCTCAGGGCGGCACTACTAGTCCAACCACTGAGGCAGGGGTCTGGAGACCAGTCAGCAAGAATACAACCAAAACTGAAGCAAGCCAGGGTGGCACTACTAGTCCAGCCACTGGAGGTAAGGCCACAAGGCCAGTCTGACAAGCATATATAATAGAGAGTACACAATCAGGATCCTAACAGGGGAGCAGCTATAGGAACAAGACCAAGCTGTACACAGTGCCGCTGATGATCTTTAGGCGCAAGCGCCTTAGTAAAGATATCAGCTGTGTTGGCACCTGAGGCCAAGTGAACTACGCGGGCCTGGCGGCGCTGCTGTAGCTCGCGCAGGAGGAAGTACCGCAGCTGGATATGCTTCGCTCTGCCCTCAAGCCGAGGCTCCTGACACAGGAGTATCATGGCCCTGTTGTCAGCGTACAGGACCGGGGCAGAGCTAGGCCGCTCACCTAAGTCTGTGAGCAAGAAGGTCAGCCAGCGGAGCTCCTGTGCCGCCATGGCACCAGCGTAGATCTCAGCCTCACAGCTAGACTGAGCCACAGACGACGAGCGAGTGGATCTCCAAGAGATAACACCCGAACCAAGGCTGAAACAGTAGCCCTGCGACGACCTGAGCGTCTCAGCGTCGTCTGCCCAAGAAGCGTCTGTGTGCCCAGTAAGGACCACTGGCCTGCGTCCTCCTAGCACTAACCCCATGCCTGATGTACTAGCAAGATAACGCAAAACCCTCTTAGCGGCAGACCAGTGCTGAGGTCGGTGTCTGCCTGTAGCCACAAAGCGAGCCAGGATGCTGAGAGGGTATGCGAGATCTGGGCGAGTGCAAGTCATCAGGTACATGAGGCAACCCACCAGCTCTGCGTAGGGGCCACTGGGCTCTACTGGCTCCTCAGGAACGGGAGCAGAGAGCCCATGGTCTACGGGTAGAGGTGTGGGCTGTGCGGAGGAGAACTGAAGACCGAACCTCTGAAGGACCTGACGCACCAAGTGTGACTGGGTCAGAGTGATGGTGCGTGCTGCTCTGTCCCTAGAGATCTGCAGGCCAAGATAGCGACGCAGCTCTCCAAGGTCAGTGCAGGTGTGTCTCTTCAGCAGCTCAGCCTTCACAGAGGCCAGTGCGTCCCTGTCAGGAGTAGCGAAGACCAGGTCGTCTACGTAGACAAGGATGTAGAACGGAGTCTGGCCGGAACGCACAAACAGTGAAGGGTCAGCAGAGGACGGAAAGAACTGCAGGTCTGCTAACGTGGCACGTAGCGTGTCGTGCCACTCGCGGGGAGCCTGACGCAGGCCGTAGACCGGGCGCCTGAGAAGCCACTGGGTCCCAGGAGGGAAGGTACCAGTGAAGCCCTGTGGTCGGCGCAGGTAGACCTGCTCGTGTAGGCTGCCCTGAAGAAAGGCAGTAGAGAAGTCGAGAGAGTGAAGCTCGTAGTCACGCTGTGCTGCTACGTGTAGCAGCGCCCGAAGAGTGGTCATCTTCGGGGTCGGGGCGAAGGTCTGGAAGAAGTCAACCCCCTCGCGCTGACTGAAACCTCTGGCCACGTAGCGCGCCTTGAAGACAGGCGGCTCTCCAGGGGGGCGCTTCACCTTGAAGAGCCACCGACCATCGACTACGTTCACCCCAGGCGGGGGAACTGCGTCGACGTAAGTGCCGGTGGATCTCCAAGATGCCATCTCCTGCTCCATGGCAGCTATCCACTGAGAGGCCCAAGGTCCCGAGGTGGCCTCAGCGTAGGTGCGAGGGGTCGGGATGTCGAAGGCGTCTGGGTCACCCTCAGGGACTAACAGCATGGAGCAGAGATGGGGAGCAGCCTCGGAAAGGAAAGCCAGCTCGTACTGCCTGTCCTCTAGGACGTCACTGCCAAGGCCAGGAGCACCCCCGACGGACAGAGGACGGGCAGGGTCAGAGACCAGAGCGGTAGCGTAGTCAAGGCGGCGGGTAGAAGCGAAGTCAGCGACAGCAGCGACAAGCGCGTCAAGGCGCGAGACAGGAACAGCAGGGTCGGTAACAAGAGAGGCAAGGACCCGAGGGACAAGGGGACGAGCAGCACGGAGGTAGTCAGAGAACGGAGGAGGTGCAACAGCAAGGGACGAGGGAGGAGGGGACGGGAGGAGGGGAGGATGAGACGAGTGGGAACGGAGCAACATAGGGTGGGTGGGCAGGACAGGAGAGACGGGACGAGCACGGGAGGGACGGCGAGCCCAAACGTGAGACGGAGGGGTAGGGTCAGGGGACAGCGGAGGAGACACAGGAGGGGAACGAGGAGGAAGACGGGCCGGAGACGAGTCTGGCGGCGGGAACACAGGACCGTAGACAGGGAGGTCAGGAGGCGGTGGGGGAGACACCGGCGCGCGGTCCGGGGAGGGAAGGCCGAGCAGGCGGAGAGCGGAAACCGGCGGCGACGGCTGCTGTGGCGGCGACGACGGCTGGGCCGGAACTCTCGGACCAGCAGAGGCAGAACGACCGTCGGCAGAACACTCAACAGCAGCACCCCCAGAACCAACACCCCAAGAGCGAGAACCCCCTCCAACACCAGCGGCACCCCCAGAAGCCGCAGGACGAACACCCTCCTCCACACCAGCACCCCCAGGGGCCGAGAGCAGCGGCGGCAGTGGCGGCGACAGCGGCGACGGCTGCGGCGGCGACGGCGACGGCGGCGGCAGCGGGGTCGGCGACTGCGACAGTGGGGGCGGAGGCACTGGGGAAGGGGGACGCGGCAAGGACGGACCGGGGGTACCACCAGAGTCAGCAGACTCCTCAACGGGGACAACCGACGGGAGGGGAGTGACGTGGGAGACACCAGACGGGGCAGGACGAGGCGGGAGAGGGGCAGGGGCTACCGGGGGAGAGGGAGCAAGGAAAAGGGGGGGGCAACTGGGAGACCTCGGTGAGGGAAGCGGCGGTAGAAGGAGACGGACTCGTCAAAGGTGACGTCACGAGAGTGGAGGAAGCGGTGAGACGGCGGGTGGTAGAAAAGCCAGTCAGACGAGTCCAGGGGGAAACCGAGGAAGACACAGGGGACAGTGCGGGCAGTGAGCTTGTCCGTGCCAGAGGCACGAACGTGAGCAAGGCAGCCCCAGACGTGGAACGCAGACGCGTCACCGGGGGACCCGGTCCAAAGGAGGGTCGGCGAAACCTGCGGCCGCTGGGAGCGTGGCCACAGGTTAAGCTGGTGAGCCGCGTAGCGAACAGCGAACGGCCACAGAAAATGGGGGGCATCGGCATGGATCATGGAGGTACGGGCGACCTCCATGACCAAGCCGATGCGGCGCTCAGCAACCCCATTCTGCTGTGGCGAGTCCGGCAACGTGTACGACTGGGTGATGCCCTCCGCACGACAGAACTGTCCAAGCCGACCAGAGGCGAACTCGCCGCCACGGTCGGAGTGGAGACACAACACGGGGAGACCGCGGTGGAGACGCGCAGCTACAACCCACGGGAGAAGAACGTCGGGCACGTCGGCCTTCCGCTCCAGGGGAAACACCGTGGTGTAGCGCGTGTAGTCGTCAACGAGCACAAGGAAGTAGCGCTCACCGCGCGGTCCGGGGACGGGGGCAGGGCCCCAAACGTCCAAGTGCAGGGTCTGAAGGGGGGCAGTAGCAGGACGCAGCGAGGAGGAGTGAGGAGCACGGCGGAGCCGACCCTCGACGCAAGGCGTGCACGGTGGCGCAGTCGAGGGAGGAAGGGCAGGGAGCGACGCGGGGAGACCTAAGACAAGACCGTGCTGGGACATGTGACGCAGACGCGGGAGAGCAGGGTGACCTAAGCGGTGGTGCCAGAGAAGGGAGGGGTGAGTGAGGGACCGACACGAGCAAGCTGCAGCGACCTGGGAGGTCGCACCAACCGGGGGGGAAGCGGTGTGTAGGGTAAACAGACCGGACACCGGGTCCCGGGGGAACGTCGCAAGGGGGGAACCTGAGACAGCCTCAGAACAGACAGCGAACCGCTCGTGCCCGGGGAACGTGGTGGTGACGCCGAGGTCCTGGAGACAGCCGACACCAACCAGGTTCCTGGAGAACGAGGGAACGTGGAGGCCAGTAAGGGAGCCCGAGGGAACTGCCGGACAGGGAAGGGACGTAGAACTGCGCGCGACGAACGGACCCGCAGAGGGGTCAGCGAGAGAGACAACAGCAGGTGCAGCAAGCGGCGTGAGCGTGGAACGGTCGCGGAAGAAGCAGGCAGAAGCACCAGAGTCGAGAGTGAAGGACAGCGACGCAGTGGCGGAGGCCGCGGACGGAGCCGGTGCAGCGACTAGACTAGGCAACCTAGGCAGTCCTACGCCTGTCGCAGCAGGGGAAGCTAAGCTACACAAGGGTGAAACACCTAAACTAGAGTACACATGGTAGTAAGATCCATCAACACTAGAAGCGTCAGCATACAAAGCATGCAAAGCAGCACCTATCTGATCCATGTCTAACTCAAAGATCGGCACGCCCTGGCGGAGCAGGCTGTGCCAGTCAGGGAGGTCCGGGGCCGGGCCAAAGCGACGACGAAAAAGATCGTCGAGGCGGCGGAAACAGTGGGCGGTCGGGTGCGGGCGGCGGCACAGAGTGCCGCGGAGAGGCCCGGTCTGAAGCTGGTACTGGCAGGTCACAGCACTGGAGCCGCTGGTAGACGCCAAGCTGCGCGGGCCGCCACCACGGCCACCGCCTCCGGAGGTGCCGGGCCAACCAGGCGGGAGACGAGCCCACGGCTGCGGCGGGTGCTGCTGGGACGGCGGCTGCGGCTGGGGCTGGTCCTGCTGCTGCTGGGACTGCTGCTCCTGCCCACCGGTGGTAGTCCCCTCAGGCGGACTACCGTCACCACCACCACGACCACTACCACCTGCGTCACCACCCCTACCTCCCTGGCGGCCACGGCCACCGCGACGCGAGCGCTGCTGCGGGTGGACAGCAGCAGCCGTCTCGGTAAGAGGGGTCGCCGTGGCGACCGCAGCCGAAACGTCAGTGAACGTGCACGGGGATGGGGCACAACCGTGAAAGATAGAGACTGCCGGCGCACCGCTCGACTGAGCGATAGTGCGCTGGCGAGTCTCGATCTCAGTGAGGGTGTCGACAAAGGCGGTCAGGGTGAGGTCACCCGGGTGCTGGCTAAGAAAGTGGTCGCGAGCACTAGCGAGGCGGTCTGGCAGGCGCATAGCGATAAAATAGAGCGTCATGCAGAAAGGAGGGGGGAGCGCAGTGAGCTGGGCAGCAGTGCTGGCAGTGCGATAGCGAGTCTCTAGGGCACGCAAATGAGTGGCAAAATCTGCGACAGTAGGGAAGGCAGCCATTTCTGGGAACAGCATCGGAAAGAGCAAGCGGCCAGCAGAAGCGGAGGCAGGGGTGGAATAGCGAGCAATAACGGCTTCTAAATAAGCTTTGGCCGTTTCAACAGTAGCAAAACGCGAGCGCTCAGACACAGGGAGGGCGTGACTAATAGCAACCTGAGCTACTGCATCGCGTGAGTCCCAGACCGCACAGGCTAGCGCAGCAGTAGAGAAAGCCTCACGGTCATCAGAGGAGGGGTCAGCAGGGAGGGGAGTAGGTGCAGGGGGACGGGGGAGCAAGCCATCAGCATGGACAACCAGAGAGTGGCCATCCTGGCGCTGACCTGTAAGCTGGCGGCGAAGATCGGAGAGCCAGGCGGCGAAGTCAACCGCGTGGCCCTCAGCGTCCAGGCGGAGCACAAAGTCAGCCATCGTGCAGGGTCAGCGGCACAGCTCCTCAGCGACACAGCGGCACAGCAGCACAGCTCCTCAGCGGCACAGGAGCACAGCGGCGCGGGGACACGGCGGCAGCACTCTCCAGTAGGGCAGCAGCTAGGCGTCCCAGCGCAGGCAAGCAGAAGACACAGGGCCCGAGAGGACACGGCAGGCCGAGCAGGGGAGGCGGGCAGGTGCTCTAGGGCCGGGCTGGTGCTGGGAGGGGCCAGGCTGGTGCTGCTGGGGCCGGTCGGGCACGAGGAGGGGCCGGGCAGCGCTGAGGAGAGGCCGGGCGGCGCTAGGAAGGGGCCGGGCGGCACTAGGAGGAGGCCGGGCGGCACTAGGAGGAGGCCGAGCGGCACTAGGAGGAGGCCAGGCGGGCGAGCGCTAACAGCAGGCGCGACAGGGGCCAGCGGGCGCGACGGGGCCTAAGGGGCGCGACGGGGCCCAGCGGGCACGACGGGGCCCAGGGGGGGCGCGACGGGGCCGAGGAGGCGCGACGGGGACCAGCGGGCACGACGGGACCCAGGGGGGCCGCGACGGGGCCTAACGGGCGCGACGGGGCCCAGGGGGGGCGCGACGGGGCCTAGCAGGCGCGACGGGGCCTAGGAAGCGCGAAGGGGCCCAGCGGGCGCGACGGGGCCTAGGAGGGGCGCGACGGGGCCGAACGGGCGCGACGGGGCCCAGAGGGGGGGGACGCGACGGGGCTTAGGAGGCGCGACGATGCCTAGGAGGCACGACGGGGCTCAGCGGGCTCGACGGGGCCCATGGGGGGCGCGACGGGGCCTAGGAGGCGCAACGGGGCCCAGCGGGGGCGCGTTAGGGCCTAGGGGTCGCGACGGGACCCAGTGGGCGCGACGGGGCCCAGGGGGAGCGCGACGGGGCCTAGGAGGCGCGACGGGGCCCAGCGGGCACGACGGGGCCCAGGGGGGGCGCGACGGGGCCTAACGAGCGCGACGGGGCCCAGGGGGGGCGCGACGGGGCCTAGGGGGCGCGACGGGGCCTAGGAGGCGCGACGGGCGGAAGCGGTAGGCGGGGGGATCCTAACCTAAGCGTGATACCATGTTAACGTAGAAACGAATGATTACTAGAGGTGGAAACCTAGAACAAATACTAGTTGGTTGTACTCACTAGAAGCATACCTCAGTCTAGCCTATAACTTCTACATAGATAATATGTATAAGTTGACAAAAAGTACCCTGTACCACCCTTCCTAGTCTAATTCGTTACTCTGAGATGGTATCACGCTAGGTTAGGTCCCCCCTCCCCGCTTACGCTTCCGCCCCTAGCCCTAGTCCTAGTCTTAGTAGCGCCGCACCGCGCCGCGCCGCGTCGCCCTAGCCGCGCCGTGCCCTATCTCTAGGTGCTCTAGCTCGCCCTAGCCCGCCCTAGCCGCCCTAGGCCGCCCTCGCCGCGGTAGCTCGCTGGCCCCGCGCTCGTTCGCCCTTCGCACTCTGACCCCGAGCTCGCCAGCCCCGCGCTCGCTGGCCCTGCGCTCGTCGCCCCCGTGCCCGCCAGCCCTGTGCTCGCCGACCCCACGCTCGCCAGCCCTGCGCTCGTCGACCCCGCGCTCGCCGGCCCCTAGCTCGCCGGCCCCGCGCTCGCCGGCCCCTAGCTCGCCGACCCCGCGCTCGCTGGGCCCGCACTCGCCGGCCCCTAGTTCGCCGGCCCCGTGCTAGCTGACCCCGCGCTCGCTGGCCCCGCACTAGCCAGCCCCTAGCTCGCCGACCCCACGCTCGCCAGCCCCGCGCTCGTCGACCCCGCGCTCGCCGGCCCCTAGCTCGATGGCCCCGCGCTCGCTGGGTCCACGCTCGCTGGCCCCGCTCTCGCCGGCCCCACGTTCGCTGGCCCCGCGCTCGCTGGCCCCTGCACTAGCCGGCCCCTAGCTCCCCGGCCCCTCGATCGCCGGCACCTTAGTGTTGGAAATATCTCAAAGAACTTAAGCGTTTCTGAAGTGTAACACTACACTCGAGGAAGACTACAAGGGAGCACGCGAGTCAACGGAGGTTACACGAGGGGGCGGACAAAGAATGCGAAAGGTCGCAACTGGAGGTTGCGACTGACCATTACAGCATCATGGATGGTAACCGAAGTAGCAATCGAGTCGATGTGCGACTCGATAAACCGTTCCTGTAACTGTACTCTACAACTGCTTTCTTATCTTCTATATATTGCTGTATGCTTGTTTCCTTAATTAATCACTTGTTCTCACATACTAGTACAAGGGTTCAACTGTCTCAACTTCCGCTGCACTACTCCAAGTCTCAAGTCTCTACAAGCTGGGACTTAGTCTCTGCAAAAGATCCTAAGGGCTTTTTTTTCAGCCCAACACTTAGCTTGCCGGCCCCTCGCTCCCCGGCCCCAGTTCGCACCGACCCCGATCCCGCCGTGTCACCGTGCCGCGGTGCCGCCGTGCCACAGTACCGCCGTGCCGCCGAGCCGCCGTGCCACAGTACCGCCGTGCCGCCGAGCCGCCGTGCCGCCGTGCCGTCGTGCCGCCGTGGCGCCGTGGCGCCGTGTCGTCGTGCCGCCGTCAACAAGTGAGGTCATGGGATGGCGGACACTGTGCTCCGCCTGGACGCAGAGGGTCGGGCGATCGCCTTTGAGGCGTGGCTCGTCGACCTTCGCCGTCACCTGATAGGTCAGCGCCAGGACGGTTACGCACTGGCTGTTCATGTCGATGGTATGCTTCCCCGCTCCGCCGCACCTGCTGCCCTCCCAGATGCCCCCACCACTGCTGAGCGTGAGGCCTTTTCAGCTGGTGCGCTTGCTTGTGCTATCTGGGAGTCGCGCGATGCTGTACCGCAGCTTGCAATTAGTCACGCCCTCCCCCAGTCTGAGCGTCCCTGCTTTACCACTGTAGCAAATGCCAAGGAATTCCTAGATGCAGTCGTTGTGTGCTATTCCATGCCCTCCTCAGCCTCTGCTGGCCGCCAAATGCTCCCCATGTTGTTCCCTGATCTTGCGTCCTTCCCCACTGTCGCTGACCTTACCACTCACCTCCGCGCACTTGAGACTAGCTACCGCGCCGCTAGCACTGAGGCCCAGCTCACTTCCTTCCCACCGCCGCTTTGCGCCACCCTATACCTCATTGCCACGCGCCTTCCTGACCGCCTCGCCACTGCCCGCGACCACTTCACTTGTCAGCACCCAGGTGACCTCAACCATATTGCCTTTGGCACCGCCCTGTCTGCGATAGAGGCCGGCCAGTACACTATCGCTCAGTCTAGCGGTACTTCGGTGGTCCCTATCTTCTAGGGCTGTGCTCCCTCCCAGTGCTTTTACTCTGACGTCTCTGCTGCTGTCGCTGAGACAGCCTTTGCTGTTGAGACCGCCACTGCGGCATCAGCGCAGCCCCGTCAGGGTAGGGGCAACCGTGTCACAGGATCGAATGTGTCGAGGAAAAGTTGCACTATCGATTGATAGAAGGCGCTTTTATACTTCCGAGGTACATCAAGTAACCAGGTTTATCCTATCCAAAGGGAATAGACCCTTCTAGAAATAGAATCACCCTGCGTATAGCCAGGCGAGGCTATTGGCTTAAGGGATTACGACAAGTTTACGCTAGATATAGCGCGCCATTACATCCCGAGCTTGGTCGGTAATATAATTATAGTAATAGGATAACCCAAAGGATAATGAGAAAGGAGGAATAGGAAACCAAATGGGATGTGATAAAAAAAAAATGAATTAGAAGAATGAGATAGAGGAAAAAGGTGGAAATGGGAAAGAAGTGTAACGAGGTCGTACTCTCACACTTCCCCCCCTCAAAGCTGGGTGGTAGAAGTAACACCCTGCCTGACAAGGTAGTCGCGAAGGGGACGATGAGCATTACCCATCTCAGATCCAGGAATCCAACTATCATCAGAAGGATCATAACCCTTCCAACAAATGAGAAGCTCCACAGTGCCATTCTGACGACGACGGTGTGCGAGCACGGACTTGACCTCGTACTCAGTTTCATCGTGGACGAGGACGGGCGGCGGCGGCGGCGGTTGGCGTCCGGTGAAGACCGTGTTCGGATCTCGATATGGCTTCAGAAGTTGGACATGGAAGGCGTTGCGAATCTTCCAGGTAGCTGGCGGGCGTAAGCGGAAGGTAAAAGAGTGACATGTGCTTCGACGAGAAAGGGCCCGCAGAAGCGAGGTCCATAGTTTGGATGGGAGATGACTGATGTCGAGATTGCGGGTGTCGAGTAGAACCTTGTCTCCCACGTTGAAGGTTTGGTCAGTGCGGTGGCGATCGGCATGGCGCTTCTGTTGCTACTGAATGTCGAAGAGGCGCTTGTGGGTCCGACCCCAAAGCTGATGCATGGTCATGATGAAGTCGTGTGCGGGTTGGACTCTGGTTGATGCTGTCGGTTTTTGTGGCATTAGCGGGTGGCGTCCGTAACAGAGGAAGCAGCGTCCGTAACGGCGGTTTTCCGTAACAGCGTCTGTCCAGTAGTGGCGTGAGTGGCGTTGTTGTAAGCAAACTCAAGGATGGGCAGATGCAAGCCCCATGTAGAGATTTCATCTTTGCATGCTACGCGGAGGAGTTGCTCTACAATTTGGTTGAGGCGCTCGGTCTGTCCATCGGTCTGCGGATGGTAGGCGGATGACATGGCGAGTTTTGTCCCGAGCAGAGACATCAGTTCCTTCCAGAACTTGCTGGTGAACTTGGGGTCTCAGTCGGAGATGAGTGTGGTTGGAATGCCATATTGTGAGATGATGTAGCGAACGAATAGTTGGGCTGTCTCTTCGGTGCGTGCTGTCATGTGTGTCGGGATGAAGTGTCCCATCTTGGAGAATTTGTCGATGACTACGAGGATTGCGTCATGACCGCTTGTGGTAGCTTGGTAACCCGGTCATGAAATCCAGGCTAACTGCTTGCCATGGCTGTTCTGGGACAGGAAGAGGCTGTAGCAGTCCTGCCTTTTTATGCTTGGTGCTCTTCATTCGCTGACATATAGCACACGAGGTGACGATTTTCTGAACGTCGTCTGGCATGTAGGGCCAGTAGTAGTGCTTTGCAATACTGGTGAGCGTTTTGTTGCTACCGAATTAAGTGTCCTGCGTATAGGACATCGTGGTATTCTTCGAGTAGCAACTGGCACAAAGGAGGGTAATTGGTACCCAGATTTTCATAGATCCCTTGAGTAGTGGGTTCATCCCTTCGACCTGGATTGCGACAACGTGTGCAGGCTGACTAAGAGCGTCTGCTTTGTTTTTCTGGCCGGGCTTGTACACGATGTCATAGTGGAAGTGTGTCTCGTGGAAGTCAATCCACCGGACCTACCGCCTGGAGAGGTTTGGTTGTGTCTTCAAATATTTCAGACTGCAGTGGTCGGTGTAGATGGTTGTTTTTCGTCCTTCGCTCTTGGATAATTTGACGTAGAATCGTTCTCGTCGAAGAATGTTGAAGACGCGTTTCAGGTGTTGGACGTGCTGCTGCATGTCGCGCGAGTAGATGAGGGTGTCATCCAGGTACACCACCACGCATTCGTCTAAGATTGGGCGTACAATATGGTTCATTTCGGCTTGGAACGTTGCCGGTGCGTTGGTGAGCCCAAACGGCATTACCAGATACTCGTACGACCCGTATCGAGTGCGGAAGGCAGTTTTGTGGATGGAATTGTCCGGCATTCGTATCTGCCAATATCCAGACCGCAGATCCAGTTTGGAAAATACCGTAGCTCCCCGAAGGTGGTCAAGCAGATCATGGATTCGTGAATTGGGTATTTTTTCTTGATGGTCTGCTTGTTGAGAGCTCGGTAATCGATGCACATGCGCAGGCTTCCGTCTGGTTTCGGTGTGAAGAGTTGTGGGGCACCGTATGGCGAAGTGGGTGGTCGGATGAGTCATTTTGCAAGGAGATACTCGATTTGTTTCTTCATGTCGGCTAGCTCCGTGGGGCTGAGCCGATATGGTGCTCGGAAGGTCGGCTTCGAACATGGTTCTTCCACGATCTCGTGTTGGTGCGTTCGGTATGGCGGCAGCTTGTTCGGAAGGTCGGCTTCGAACATGGTTCTTCCACGATCTCGTGTTGGTGCGTTTGGTATGGCGGCAACTTGTTCGGAAGGTCGTCGGGAAGAATGTCTTGGAACTCCTTCAGTAATTCCTTGATTTTTTCAGGAGGTTCCAAGGTTTACTCTCCATCATTTTCCACCTCTGTCACAATCGCAGGAACCCGGTGTAAGTTCGTTTTACGTCATTCTCGAATCTTGCGAGTGTCTCCACTGGGATATCTCCTGTATTATCCCAGTTGGGTAGCTGGACTCTCCTTCCGTTGTTGTAGATGCTTGCGGTACGGTTTACCCAGTTGATCTCAGGGTTGAATATTTTTATGAAGTCTCGCGCGAAGATCAAGTCATGCCCTTTTATGTTGGTAATGGGGAGTGCAGGTTTCCAACGCAGTGGTCCTACTTGTAGGTGTAACACTGCTTTGCCGTATACTGGTAACTTGCTGCCGTCCACCATCATTGCAGAGAATGCTGAAGGCTTGTACTCTTCCCGAAGTTGGTCGATTACTGCCTTGTCACATACGGTGTGTGATGCTCCGCTGTCCACGAGTGCTTGGAGGCGTCGTCCTTTGCAGATGACCTCGAGCATGAGGGGCAGGCGTTGCTCAGAGTACCCAAAGATAGTTTTGTTAATAGGATCATAGGGTATATCCCAATATTCTGTACACACATTTTCCTTGCTATCTATTCTTGGGTTGGCAGCTGGCCGAGGCTGCTTGGAGAAAGGCTCTCCCTCAGGACCCTGAGCTTTGGCGACTGTGTGTGTCGTTGATGCCGAATTTGTTTATTTGGATGCATCCATAGGAGGAGTTCAGGGCTTTTGCAGCCACTTGTAGACCCCCAGCTTCCTCTTGAGCTGCTTCAGCTCCACCGACGTCTTCCCTGGAGAACGGGTAGTCGTTGTGGGCTGGTGTCAAGAGAGGACGTTGACTCCGTGGAAAGGTCGGCTTCTTTCCACACTCCTTAATTTTGTCCCCAAGTTTTCCGGTACCGGTACGATCTCCACAAGTTTCTGCTTCTTCTGGAGTCCCTCCTGAAATTTCTCCAAGGCACTAGCCCCTTGAGAATAGTAAGTTTTCATTAAAGCATCCTTATAAGATAACTTTAACGAAGCCTTATAATTTCTTGGGTCTTCTCAGAGTTTCCCTCTCTCGACAGAGTCCTTTTTCGCGGAGTCAGATTTTTTCTTGGCGATTTTCCCTGGCGAAGAATGGTCGTGGGGTGGAGATTTTTCCCCATCATTTCCTCCTGCTCGCGTCAAATCAGCTTCGTTGAAGTTGATTCTCCCGGAATCCCGCGGCCGCTTTCGGAAATTTTCTTTTTTGCCAGCTAGATCCACAATCACTGGCGAATTCTGTTTTTTGTCTTCTAATTGGCCAAAGAATTTCCGCCACTGTTGCGTGCCCGATACTCTGCTCGTGCGGCTTTCATTTTATTGCAGTCGAAGATTCGATGGCCCGGCACCTCGCAAAAATCACACGTGTAGGTGGTGTTTTTCGGACGTGACCGCCCGTCGAACCTGTCGATTTCCATCAGGTCGGCGAACGTGGGGTGAGCCGAGCGGTCGCCCTATCGCGTACTGCCGACGTGCGCCCGTCGTGTTCTGGCGTTGACCATGTCAAACCGCTCTGCTACCGATACGACGTCACTGTAGCTCGCGTAATTTGTCGCTGCTACGTATCGTTTGACTTCGGTCTTCAGCCCGGCGAGATACGACTGTACTTTTTCCCTTTCGGTCAGGTCGGGAATGCGGTTATAAAATTCCTCCATCTGTTGCGTGTACTGCGCTTCACTCCCGAACTGTCGATGGCGATGAATTTTTCCCCGGGCAAGGAAACCCGAATTTATCGGCTCGAAGCATTTCAGCAGGTCGGTGCGGAACTGCTGCCACGTGGCTTCGCCATGGATGAAAGTACTGTTGCCGCCGATCCACTCGAGTGCCGGCCCTCGCATCAGTGTCGCCGCGAGACGTACGCGTTGACCGTCTCAGACTGGCGAGCTCCATCCGACGGCTGCGAAGTAGATCTCCATGCCGGCGATCCATCTGCGGACGTCGGAATTTCGATCGCTCGGATCGAATGGCTCAAGTGGGCGCGGTTTCAGAGCCTCGAGAAACTGATGCGACTGTTGTGTTGTCGCCGTTTTCGTTTCGTGCTGTGCACCGGCGTGTCGAGTTACTCGCTCGAACTCGTTTCGCCAAGCTTCGCGATCGGGTCGCATCTCCTCCTAAAGGGCGGCGATGCTCGCGAAGAGCTGCTGGATAGCCTCGGCGTTATCGAAGTTCGCCATCCTGTTCAAAACACGCGCGGATGGGTTAATAAAAAAATGCGGACCTGGTGCTTACTAGAATCGGCGCCGAATTAGTCGCCCCCGACGATTTTGCAAGGCAGGTTTTCCCGCTGCTTCTACTTAGCTGAGCGCTGCTGAGTGAGAAAAGCTCTGATTACCAAGTGTGACAGGATCGAATGTGTCGAGGAAAAAGTTGCACTATCGATTGATACAAGGCGCTTTTATACTTCCGAGGTACATCAGGTAACCAGGTTTATCCTATCCAAAGGGAATAGACCCTTCTAGAAATAGAATCACCCTGCGTATAGCCATGCGAGGCTATTGGCTTTAAGGGATTACGGCAAGATTACGCTAGAGATAGCACGTTAGTACATCCCGAGCCTGGTCGGTGATATAATTATAATAATAGGATAACCCGAAGGATAATGAGAAAGGAGGAATAGGAAACCAAATGGGATGTGATATTGTTCAAAGGAATCAGTATATTTAGAAGAATGAGATAGAGGAAAAAGATGGAAATGAGAAAGAAGTGTAACGGGGTCGTACTCTCACACCTTGCGGGTGTGTCACAGAAGCAACGGGTGAGTAAGCGACCGACACAAGCACGTAGCGGCTACCTGGGTAGACGCAGGACTTGGGGTGGACAGTCCACCCGGGGTGGAAGCTGTGTCGAGCATAATGAGGCCAGACACCGGGTCCCGGGGGATAGAGGAATGGGATAGTTAGAAGAATGAGATAGAGGAAAGAGATGGAAATGGGAAAGAAGTGTAACAGGGTCGTACTCTCACACACCGCCCCAAGAAAGGGCGTGGCAGAGGGAAGGGTGGTTGGGGTGGTGGGGGTGGTGGAGGTGGGTGCGGGGACGGTGGGTCAGACGAGGAGACCGGGGCTGGTGCCCTGTAGCAATAGCAGCAGCACCAACCTCAGCAGTAGCCTTAGTAGCAGTAGCAGCAGTCGCTGTAGGGAACCTCGCCGAGGTGGTGGCCTGGCGGTGCTGGTGGTGGTCGTCGTGGGGGTTGGGCGTGCAGCTCGGTATTGTCGGCTCCAGTGTGGCCACTTGCTAGTAACAGCTTCAGTCTGGCCCCCACCGCGTCACCGTCTAGGACCGTCCCGGTCACACCGTCGGCCGCTGCTACCGCCGTCTTGACGACCTCTTCCATCACCGCTTCGATCCCATGTCGGACCCTCCAGATTGGTACGCCCTGGTGCGCCGCCGTGTGCCTGTCTTTGAGCTTGACATAGATCAGATTAGGAATGCTATGTATGTCATGTATGCAGATGACACTTGTGTGACTGGACCCTATTACCTGGTGTTGCCTAGTATAGGTTCCCCTGCTGCGTCAGGCGTAGGACCCATTGCCTTGTTTAGCCTAGGCTCTACGCTAGCCCCTCCGACTACAGACGCAACTGCTTCGCTCTCCTTTACGCTCGACTCTGGCGCGCCCGCCTGCATCTTTCGCGACCACACTACGCTCACTCCGCTTTCTGCCCCCGCCTCTGTGGCGCTTGCTGACCCCTCTTCAGGTCCGGTATTTGTCTGGCGGTTCCCTCGGGCTCTCTTATAGGCTTGCACATCCTCTTGTTCTCTAGGAACGTAGTTGGTGTCGACTGTCTTCATGACCTCGGCGTCACCACTACGTTCCCTGAACTTGACCGGTTTGTACTCTGTACCGAGCTCGCCACTGGTGCCCCTCTCACCACGTTCCCCTTTGACCCAATTTCTGGCCTGTTCACTCTAGACACCGCGTCCCCCCTGGTGGGAGGGTCCTCCCAGGTCGCCGCGTCCTCCTAGGTTGCGGCAGCCTTCTCATGTCGGTCGCTCACCCACCCATCGCTACTGTGGCACCACCGCTTAGGTCACCTCGCACTCCTGCGTCTGCGCCACATGTCCCATCACGGTCTCGTCTTCGGTCTCCCTACGTCGCTTACAGCCCTACCTGCCTCGCCTGCGCTGCCGTGCACGCCCTTCGTTGAGGGCCGGCTGAGCCATGCTCCTCACTCCTCCTCGTTCCCCCCTACCACTGCGCCAATCCAGACCCTGCACTTGGACGTTTGGGCCCAGCCACCGTCCCCGGGCCGCGCCAAGAGCGCTACTTTCTAGTGTTTGTTGACGACTACACGCGCTACACCACGGTGTTTTGCCTAGAGCGGAAGGCCAACGCGCCTGACGTTGTTATCCCGTGGGTCATAGCTGCGCGAGTCCACCGCGACCTCCGTGTGCTGCGTCTTCACTCCGACCGTGGCGGCGAGTTCGCCTCTGGTCGGCTTGGCCAATTCTGTCGTGCGGAGGGCATCACCCAGTCGTACACCCTGTCAGACTCTCTGCAGCAGAATGGGGTCGCAGAGCAATGCATCGGTTTGGTCATGGAGGTGGCTCATACCTCCATGATCCATGCCGGTGCACCCAATTTTCTGTGGCCGTTCGCTGTTCACTATGCCGCTCACCAGCTTAACCTGTGGCCGCACTCCCAGTTGCCTAGCTGGCCCCGTCGCCTTGTCGGCACCGTCGCCTTTTCGGCCCCGGTCGCCTAGCCGCCCACCCCCCCCCCTCTCCCCCCCTTGCTTAACCGGCCCCGTCACCTAGCCGCCTAGCCGGCCCCGTTGCCTCGCCGCCCGCGGCCCCACCTCTTAGCCGCCACGCGGCCCCATCTTCCAGCCGCCACACGGCCATGTCTCTCAGCTGCCCG